CGCACGCTCAGAGGTAGGCAGGTGGCGACGCACAGCAAGACGTGCAGCAGCATCGCGTGTGGCCCACTGTGAGCGAACAGTGGCGTCGGCATCAGCAGCAGGGGCAGGAGAGGCACCAGAGGTGAGGTCAAAGAGGGAGAGACCGTCTGCCCTATCGCACTGTAGGAAAAGCTGCAGGTCATCTACCCAGACGTCAAAGTCAATGGCCCGACCCTCAGCGTCAAAAGCGAGGACACTAGGGGTAGCCATGACAGCAGTAGACTAGCAGCGCGAACAGTAGGGTAAGGGCAGTGCAGTGACAGAGGCGCTGCTCTTACCGGACAGGGCGGCTCGAGCGGCTCGGCGGGTCGGCAACTCGGCGGCTCGGGCGGCTCGGACGGCTCGGCGGTACGGCGGCTCGGCAGCAACTGCGGCTCGGCGACTCGGCGGCTCGGGCGGCTCGGGCGGCTCGGCGATACGGCGGCTCAGCAGCAACTGCAGCTCGGCGGCTCGGCGACCCGGCGGCTCGGGCGGCTCAGGTGGCGCGGCGGCTCGGGCGGCTCTGGTGGATCGGGCGGCTCGGCAGTAGCTCGGCGGCGCCGGCGGCTCGGTGGTGACGGCGGGGCCGCGTGGGGACGGCGGCGGGGCCGGGTGGAGCGGCGGCGGGGCTGGGTGGAGCGGCGTCGGGGCCGGGAGGAGCGGCGTCGGGGCCAGTAGAGGCGGCGCCGGGGCCGGGAAGCGCAGCTCTGGGGCCGGGAAGGGCAGCTCCGGGGCCGCAGGGGTAGGCGACGGGGCCAGCAGAGGCGGCGCCGAGGCAGGGAAGGGCGGCGCCGGGGCCGCAGGGGTAGGCGACGGGGCCGCGAGGACGGCTAGGAGGGGGGGGTCGCGAGGGCGGCTTGAAGAGGCCGTGAGGGCGGCTAGAAAGGGCCGCGAGGGCGGCGTGAAAGGGCCGCGAGGCGGCGCGACACGAAGGAGCCGCGAGGGCGGCGGATCGGGGCCGCGAGGGCGGCGCGACGCGGCCGCTAGGGCGGCGCGACGTGCAGGGGCCGCGAGGGCGACGCGACGGGGCCGCAGGCGCGACGCGACGGGGCCGCTAAGGCGGCGCGACAGGGTCGAGAGAGGGGAGCGCGACTCGGGCAGTGTAGAGCGCGCTCCGGGCAGGAAAAAAAAGGTGGTGGGCCCTAGGAAACAGTTCCCACAGGGGAACCTGCTCGATACCATGAGAAACTGAACGAGAATGAATTGACTAAGGGAAAGTTGGGTACAAATGTAAACCCTAGAAAACTGTACCCCATATGTGCTACCCCACTATAGCCTACAGTAGCTATGTCATATAAATCTGACAGTCTACACTAAATTTGAATCTACATTTTGTGCTCGAGGTAAAGGTTGTGCCTAGACGCGATAAGAGTGGACTGTATAAATGTCTCTGAAGTGTGCTACAATCAAATATAACTTTTGAGTAAGTTGAATGTAACCCTAAACACAAATGTTAATATACGTAGCCATCATCAGCCCTAAACCTAGAGATATGTACGACTACTGTGAACCCATATAGTGTCTTAACAGCGTCCAAGATCTAGACACTTAACCCTATAAATCAATATTCATGGTTCAAAAGCATGCATTTCTGCACATTTTCCCTAAATGCTGAAGCAGAAGTGGGCATGAAAACCCTATCTAGGCATATTGGATTGCCCTGAAACTCATAGGGGGGTTAGTAATAGGTGTGATGAGACTCCCCTATGAGTTTCAACTCAGTAGCACTAGTGGAGGTTGGTTTTTGCACTGAGAGTGTAAAACCAGGCATTTCTGCCCATTTTCCATTGAATTTGAAGCAGAAGAGGGCATGAAAACCCTATCTAGGCATATTGGATTGCCCTGAAACTCATAGGGGGGTTATTATTAGGTGTGATGAGACTCCCCTATGAGTTTCAACTCAGTAGCACTAGTGGAGGTTGGTTTTTGCACTGAGAGTGTAAAAACAGGCATTTCTGCCCATTTTCCATTGAATTTGAAGCAGAAGAGGGCATGAAAACCCTATCTAGGCATATTGGATAGCTCTGAAACTCATAGGGGGGTTAGTTATAGGTGTGAAGAGACTCCCCTATGAATTTCAACTCAGTAGCACTAGTGGAGGTTGGTTTTTGCACTGAGAGTGTAAAACCAGGCATTTCTGCCCATTTTCCATTGAATTTGAAGCAGAAGAGGGCATGAAAACCCTATCTAGGCATATTGGATTGCCCTGAAACTCATAGGGGGGTTAGTATTAGGTGTGATGAGACTCCCCTATGAGTTTCAACTCAGTAGCACTAGTGGAGGTTGGTTTTTGCACTGAGAGTGTAGAAACAGGCATTTCTGCACATTTTCCATAGAAATTGAGACAGAAAAGGGCATGAAAACCCTATCTAGGCATATTGGATAGCTCTGAAACTCATAGGGGGGTTAGTTATAGGTGTGAAGAGACTCCCCTATGAATTTCAACTCAGTAGCACTAGTAGAGGTTGGTTTTTGCACTAAAAATCCAACAGCAGCCAATTCAGTCCAGTTTTCACTCCAATTCCTGCACAACAAAGCATGAAAAGCCTACCTTGGCTTATTGTATTGCTCTGAAACTAATAGGGGGCTTTGGAATAAGTGTCATGAGACTACCCTATCATTTTCAGAGCTTTATTCGAAGGTTTGACCTGTGGCGGGGACTAAAAACCAACAGGAGGCCAATCTGTCCAGTTTCCGCTCAAAATCTAGTACAAATAAGCATGAAATCCCTATCTAGGCTTATTGTATTGACATGAAACTTTTTGGGGGGTCTGGAATAAGTGTCATGAGTCTCCATGTTAAAAAAAAAACAGGTATGAAATTAACACATGCCTATGATGGCCAGAGAATGAGATGTCAGGTGCTATGAGCTTCATTGGTATATGTTGAAATAGAGTGTGTTGTGCAATTTTTTCATAATGTGCATGTTGTTGGCACAATATTAGTAGAGGCATAGGGGAGTCAGGAGAGCCAGTTACAAGTTGATTTAGAGCACAAACATGGTGTCTATGAGCATTTAAAGACCCTAAATTTGATTGATTTTGGAGCCATTTTGAACCCACATTTGAGTTTTTTGGCATTCCTTTTGCTGTATTATGATAAAGTATATCTGGACCTATCCTTATCATAAAGAAAAAACACCACTTCAAAATTTCCAACACTTAGCCAAATCTCTGTCCAGCATTATGGCATCTCTGAGTGAGCAAAACAGTTATGTAATCTGTTTAAAACCAGGGTGCACATTCAACGCGGTTCGGCTTGAGATGTTGGGAAGGGGGTTTGGAGAAAAACAGTGATTGGCTCACGAGGGGCGACAAAAAAATGATTCCGCTAGAGCTTCGGGCATTTCGTAGGTGGCGGGAGGGGGTGAAATGGCGGGAGTGGGTGAAACCGAATGGCGGGAGGGATGAAACAGATTGGCGGGAGGGGGGGGAAACGAAATTGCGGGGGAGGGGGGAAACAAAATTGCGGGGGAGGGGGGAAACGAATTTCGACGGGGAGGGGGAAATGAAATTGCGGGGGCGTGGGGAAACGAAATTGCGGGGGAGGGGGGAAACGAATTTCGACTTGAAGGGGTTGAAAGCACACCTCGTAACCCACTCAGTCAAGCGATAACCTTTGATGCACATTCAGCTGAATGTGCACCCCGGTTTTAAGCATTCAAATTTGTACATCTAGAGCAGGGCTAACTTTAGTAAAATGACCCGTCTGGCTTTAAGACCGGGTCCTGGCTCCTTGTCTGATTGTCAGACGAAAGTTGTAACACTGTCTAGCTTTTCAGACGAATCCCAAGTACTTTTCTGAAATTTCAGACGAAGATATTTAGCTAGCAAGCAATGTATTCGCAAAATATTAGGTGGTAATGTTAAGTACCTCACATGAACATCCGCCAATGGTCCAGTCAGTAGAACCGGGATTTGTGAAGAGTGAGGTTTCGGGTTCGAATCTTGTCGCCTGATTCTTCCATGCAGGTGCAGTCACCTTCTGGTTCGAGAAACTTTTGCCTTCAGACGAGAAATGACTCGATATCTGCAGTCTCAGACGAACGGTATAAGGATGTCTAAGAATTCAGATAAATACAAAAACATTGTCTTAAAAATCAGATGAGTTTAAACGGCATGTCTAGGCCATCAGATGAACCATAAAAAACGTGTCTGGAATCCAGACAAACAGACAGAATATTTCTGATAACGTAGGCCCTGATCTAGAGTTGTCAGTCTGTTACTGACGACATCTCTACGCGTGATTCAGTCTGCGACGGTCGCACGGTCACTGTACATTTCGGACGAAAGGTGTGCGAAATTTCGCAAGTCATATTTTTATGAGTATATGAGGGCTTTCGTTTCGCCAGTCTGCGTCTTGTCTATTTTTGTGGGGCAAACCAAAAAAATCGCCTGGCGCTTGTCTATTTCGGGGGGGCCTGTCTACGTCGCGAAGAAATGCACTTTCCCTGTGAGGAGCACCATATATTCTTGGGAAAGGCAAGAAGTTGAGCGCGATTCTCATCCGCGACTCCTTATCAGGACGACTCGACGAAACCAGAGTATCGAGATAGGTACACGGTATAAGCACACACCCCTAAAGAATCTTGTTATATGATAGGTGCACCTGCACTTATATCTGGTCTGGGGTATAATGGTATTTCCATTTCATGTCCCACCAAGTGTGTATCTCGACATACACAACCTATACAATCCAACATACGTATTGTATAAGAAAATGAGGCGTAAACTGAACGCCGTTTATGAATGAACATAGTTTTATATTGTTGTGGATAACCGAATGTGTGATGCGCGTGCGCGCACGCGCGCGCGTGGGTGTGCAAGTGCGCACGCGCGCGCATGTATGTGTGTGAGTGCAAGCGCGCACGCGCGCGCATGTATGTGTGTGCGTGTGTGAATGCGTACATGTGCATGCGTATGTGTGTGTCGTGTGTGTGCTTGTGTGCATGCATGCGTGTGTGAATGCGCCCCCCACACCATTCACTCCCTCATCTCCACTAGGGCGAGGGCGGCCAGTGGTGGTACAGTCAGCATGGCCGTGTCTGCTTGGAACCAGGGGCCTGCTCCTGGCACTGCTGGGACCATGCCATGCTGCTCCTGAGTGCGGTGCAGCGGGGTGCAGAGGGGTGAAGAGGGGTGCAGAGGGGTGCAGGGAAGGAGCAGATTGAGCTTCGGAATGGAAGGCGATCATTCGGAAACGACTGGATCACAGACACAGGAGAGGTGAGACGGAGCATGGGAGACAGTGGGCGAACAATGGGAGGGGGATAGGAGGATGAGAGGCGAGGGGCAGAGGGGGAGGCGCTGACCTGCAGTGGGTGTGGAACAAGGTTGCGTGAGAGCAGGGACGGCAGGTGCAGGTGGGCAGGTTGGGGCTGCATGCTCACCACCAGCACCAGCATGCGGAACCTGCCATGGAGTGAGTGAGAGACACGTTTCAAAGGTCGCATTAAGTGAAGGTGAATCCGAGGTCTTAGAATAATCAATTTGCGATGGGTAAATAGCTGCTGTGCGAAGGACAACCAAACACGTTTCTCGGGGGAGGTGGTGGTGGGAATGGATTTTAGCTTTCCACATACTGTTCTGCACCCATCTGCCCATGCCATGCCATGTGATGCATGCATCGAATCAGATGAGAGGCAGATGATGATCATGTGAAGCAGAGCGACCCACCTACGACATGGCTGAAAGCACATCTTAGAGGCTTAGACTGCTCTGGCCGGCCAGAGTATCTCTGCTCTGCGCCCTGTTGTGTCTCACCTTGCGCTCGCCTTGGGCTCCTTCTGGTTTGAGTTGACTCACATGCTGGTCATGACTGGTGAGAGCAGGGCGAGCTCACCTGGAGTCCAGCTGGGCCATGCCCGAGCCAGCGTCGCCATCAGTCACACTCATTACTATCACCCCTGGCAGCGCTGTGGGGCCCACGTTGAGGAATCGCACTCGCTCCTGTGGGAGGGCCGGGGAAGGGGTGAGGGCACGGGAAGGCATGGCAGGGAAAGGCAGGGGAGGAGTGGAAGGGTGACGGCACGGGGTGAGCAAAGGCAAGAGGCAACACAGGCAAAACGCAAGGCAGGAGATGAGGGTGAGAAAGGGTTGGTCTAAAAACACGTCGGTGTCAGTCAGCATGGCTGAGAAGAGCAGAGGGTGCATGCTCTGACCTGACATGGTCTTGCCAATTCATCCGCAAACGGATCGCCTCACCCGACCTGTGAGAAAGCTAGAAAACCCCGATGGCTGACGGTGCTGTCCGAGCTTTGAGTCAGCTAGAAGGATAAGGCTTCTGGCCACCCGACCCGGACCTCTTCCCCGGCTCACCTGAACGAGGTGCAGCGAGGGAAGGCAGAAGAGCATCCAGTGACCTCACCCACCAGGCCCTCTCTCCCGGACTTGTCTCTCTGCACACCTGAACGAGCTGCACTCGCCCGATCTTCTCTCCAGCGGCTCACCTGAACGAGCTCCAGCGAGGGCAGGCGGAAGAGCGGCGAGGAGTAGCGCACGGCCAGCAGCATGCGCAGGTAGCGTGACGTGGCACCAATGTCTGCTGACGTGGGGCGCAGCGATTGGTTGGCCAGGAGCGGACGCATCCTGAGAGGAGCAGAGCGAGGATCGGGGTGCAGGGGAGCGGTACTCACTCAAAACAACCTCGAGCACTCACAAATATCCAAGGCCCAAGCATCAGGCCCCACGCCCGAAGCCTTGCTAACATGTTCTTCTCTCGAAAGAGGGCGAGAAGCTCGCTCCCAGTGTGCAGACAACAACGCCGTGGAAGGCCGTTTACTGTGCCGTGCAATGCGTCAGTACACTACAAGCCCACTCAGGAACGCATAGCAGGGGCCGGTTCCAAAGAGACAAGTACTCGGAATGCCACAAGTGATACATGCGTGCCCTCTGTTCCCCATCCGCCAGCGTCCTCTTCCCCAACAGCACACGCCCCACACTCCCCCTCTCCCTCTCCTGTCTCTCACATGTCCCATTTGTCGCCGTTCTTCTCATGGGGGGGCAGCCCCACGCCAAAGTTGCTGCTGCCACCCGACCAGTCCAGCCTGCCATGCCAACAATGGGGACGGATGGGGTGGATGGGCGGAAGCGCATTGAGGTGAGCTAACATTGATCAGCACTGTGCCTCTCACCAATCTTCTCACCAAGCCTCTCACCAAGCCTCTCACCACGCCTCTACCCATGCCTCTCACCACGCCTCTACAGATGCCTCTCACCATGCCAGTCCCTGGAATCTGGCACCTCCACTTCACTCTGGTCCTGCATACGCTGCACTTCCCACTGACTGCTTCAACCAGCCTGCACCGCACTTCCCACTCAGAGGAAAAATGGCACCAAAACGAGGCTTTCTCAGTCGGACTGACCGGTTGAACCAGTCGCCTGAGTTGTAGGAGTCGCGGTCGAGTGACTTGGAGCGCAGCAGGTCGTCGCCCGCATGGATGAACGGCACGCCCTGCCCCCATGCCACCACCGCCATGCCCACTCGGTTCATTGCCATGCGCTGCTGAGGGGTCGCTGCTGCTGCTGCCTGGTGGGTGAGGATGGGGGAGAGTGTGGATGAGCTTTGTGACGTCTCAAGTCGTCCCCTTCCCTACCCTACATCCCCCCCTTATTCCCTGCGTGCGTGCACGAATAACACGCCCTGCCCCCACATCACTACCGCCATGCCCACGCGGTTCATCGCCACGCGCTGCTGAGGGGTTGCTGCTGCTGCTGCCTGGTGGGTGGGAGTGGGAGAGAGTGTGGGATGGAGGAGGGGGCGGAGGAGAAAAGCAGAGCAGCAGAGAGGACAATGCACTTTTGAAGATTCTTGAATGCGACTCCAATATTTTGAAGAATTCACGAAAGGGGAAAAAAGGGGCCTTGAGTAAAGGCATTGGGCATTGGGCAGGGGCATTGGGATATGCTTGTGGTGCAACAGCAGAGCGGCAGAGACACGGTGGTGCACAATGAGGAGGTGGCAGCGCATGCATGCATGGCGTACCTTGATGGTGATGATGTCGAAGAGTGTCTCGTTGTCATGCGCCGACACGTATGTCACCTGTGCATGCAATAGCAGGAGAAAGGGCATGCACACACACATGCACACACACATGCACACACACATGCACACACACATGCACACACACATGCACACACACATGCACACACACATGCACACGCACATGCACACGCACATGCACACGCACATGCACACACACATGCACACACACATGCACACACACATGCACACACACATGCACACACACATGCACACACACATGCACACACACATGCACACACACATGCACACACACATGCACACACACATGCACACACACATGCACACACACATGCACACACACATGCACACACACATGCACACGCACATGCACACGCACATGCACACGCACATGCACACACACATGCACACACACATGCACACACACATGCACACACACATGCACACACACATGCACACACACATGCACACACACATGCACACACACATGCACACACACATGCACACACACATGCACACACACATGCACACACACATGCACACACACATGCACACACACATGCACACACACATGCACACACACATGCACACACACATGCACACACACATGCACACACACATGCACACACACATGCACACACACATGCACACACACATGCACACACACATGCACACACACATGCACACACACATGCACACACACATGCACACACACATGCACACACACATGCACACACACATGCACACACACATGCACACACACATGCACACACACATGCACACACACATGCACACGCACATGCACACGCACATGCACACGCACATGCACACGCACATGCACACGCACATGCACACGCACATGCACACGCACATGCACACGCACATGCACACGCACATGCACACGCACATGCACACGCACATGCACACGCACATGCACACGCACATGCACACGCACATGCACACGCACATGCACACGCACATGCACACGCACATGCACACGCACATGCACACGCACATGCACACGCACATGCACACGCACATGCACACGCACATGCACACGCACATGCACACGCACATGCACACGCACATGCACACGCACATGCACACGCACATGCACACGCACATGCACACGCACATGCACACACACATGCACACACACATGCACACACACATGCACACACACATGCACACACACATGCACACACACATGCACACACACATGCACACACACATGCACACACACATGCACACACACATGCACACACACATGCACACACACATGCACACACACATGCACACACACATGCACACACACATGCACACACACATGCACACACACATGCACACACACATGCACACACACATGCACACACACATGCACACACACATGCACACACACATGCACACACACATGCACACGCACATGCACACGCACATGCACACGCACATGCACACGCACATGCACACGCACATGCACACGCACATGCACACGCACATGCACACACACATGCACACACACATGCACACACACATGCACACACACATGCACACACACATGCACACACACATGCACATGCACACACACATGCACACACACAGGCACACACACAGGCACACACACAGGCACACACACATGCACACACACATGCACACACACATGCACACACACATGCACACACACATGGGAAGGAGAGAACACCTGGTGGGAAGGAGAGAACACCTGGTGGGAAGGAGAGAACACCTGGTGGGAAGGAGAGAACACCTGGTGGGAAGGAGAGAACACCTGGTGGGAAGGAAAGAACACCTGGTGGGAAGGAGAGAACACCTGGTGGGAAGGAGAGAACACCTGGTGGGAAGGAGAGAACACCTGGTGGGAAGGAGAGAACACCTGCACACCTGACAGGAAGCATATGCAGGGCATGCCCGTCACCACTGCATGTGCTGCTGGCATGAATACAGCAAGTGGCCTCCCGTGGCACTCACCGATTCAGAAGGGCTTGCTGCATATGCCACAGGCGAGCCCCCAAAGGTGTACAGCTGCCCTCCTGTCACCTGCCACAGCCGAGGTGTGGTGTGGTGAGTTATCGTGAGGTGTGGTGAGGTGTGGTGAGGTGTGGTGAGGTGTGGTGATGCAAATGTGGAAGGAGTAACTAGACAGACAATCATCATTCATTGATTATCATCATCATGGCAAGACAGCATGACAGCCACTCATTAACACAGAATAACAGCCACTCATTAACACAGAATAACAGCCACTCATTAACACAGAATAACAGCCACTCATTAACACAGAATAACAGCCACTCATTAACACAGAATAACAGCCACTCATTAACACAGAATAACAGCCACTCATTAACACAGAATAACAGCCACTCATTAACACAGAATAACAGCCACTCATTAACACAGAATAACAGCCACTCATTAACACAGAATAACAGCCACTCATTAACACAGAATAACAGCCACTCATTAACACAGAATAACAGCCACTCATTAAAACAGAATAACAGCCACTCATTAACACAGAGTAACAGCCACTCATTAACACAGAATAACAGCCACTCATTAACACAGAATAACAGCCACTCATTAACACAGAATAACAGCCACTCATTAACACAGAATAACAGCCACTCCAACCAACCTCTCTTCCTGCCGCTCCATCTGTCTGGTGCTCTGCCATACCTCACCACACACAATGCCCATACCTCACCACACACAATGCCCATACCTCACCACACACAATGCCCATACCTCACCACACACAATGCCCATACCTCACCACACACAATGCCCATACCTCACCACACACAATGCCCATACCTCACCACACACAATGCCCATGCCTACCACACACCTTGTACCTTATAAAAGATTCAACAGATCCCCACCTCCCTTCTTTCCCTCCCACCAAACATCCCACCACACACCTGCAGTCCCGCATGCCACTGAAGCCCCCCACGCACCTGCTGGTCCGTGGCACGCGAGGCGGAGGCAAAATCCCCCAGGTTGCCTGCCATGCCCGCCTGTATCACGCCCACACTCTCCGCCAGTCGCCGCCGCCACCTTCGAGAACTCACAAAGGCAAAACAAGCTATACCCCGCGCACCTGCACTACAGCACACACCTGTACTGCAGCACACACCTGTACTGCAGCACACACCTGCACTACAGCACACACCTGCACTACAGCACACACCTGCACTGCAGCACACACCTGCACTACAGCACACACCTGCACTACAGCACACACCTGCACTGCAGCACACACCTGCACTACAGCACACACCTGCACTGCAGCACACACCTGCACTACAGCACACACCTGCACTGCAGCACACACCTGCACTGCAGCACACACCTGCACTGCAGCACACACCTGCACTGCAGCACACACCTGCACTGCAGCACACACCTGCACTGCAGCACACACCTGCACTGCAGCACACACCTGCACTGCAGCACACACCTGCTCTGCAGCACACACCTGCACTGCAGCACACACCTGCTCTGCAGCACACACCTGCACTGCAGCACACACCTGCACTGCAGCACACACCTGCTCTGCAGCACACACCTGCACTGCAGCACACACCTGCTCTGCAGCACACACCTGCGCGCCAGTGGCATGAGAGGCGAAAGCAAAATCTCTGAGGTTGCCCGCCATCCCTGCCTGGATCACATCCACACTCTCCGCCAGACGCCGCCGCCACCACGCCACTGATGACCCCCCCTCGCCCCCGCTCTCCTCCCCACTGCTGCTGCCGCTGCTGCTGCCACTGTTGCTGGAGCTGTATTCCCGCTGCCGCTCGCTCTCCTCGTACTCGTTGGGCTGAGACGAGGGGGGTGGGATGGGATGGGATGGGATGGGATGGGATGGGATGGGATGGGATGGGATGGGATGGGATGGGAACATGGGCCATGTTGGGCGGTTGAGGGAAGTCACGAGGGTGAAGGCATGGGGTGTGCGGCAGTTGCGCGGGCACAGCACGGGCACAGCATGGGCACAGCACACTACAGAATGAGAAGAGGTGTGAAAATTAAGGAGACAAGGGGGCTGACTTCTGCACAATAGCAACGAGAAACGATGGGAGCGGGAGATGTCTACTTTGAATAGAAAACGCATGGGGGACATAGAACACGGGAGAAATAGGGGGCACGTGGGACATGGGGGCACATGGGGGCACATGGGGGCACATGGGGCACACACGAGCAGCAGGAGGCCCGAGGCGAAGCCCTGCTGCTGTGGATTGCCGAAGGGCGACCCCCCGATCACTGCATCGCGGAACCGGTCGTTGAAACTGAAGCAGGGGGAGAGGGCAGAGGGGCGAGGAAAGGGGCGTTGGGGAATGTGGGATGTGGGATGGGGGATGGGGGATGGGGGATGGGAAAGAAAAGGAACTCAGGCGAGAAGAGGAATCGCTGTGTGCATAGTCGCTGTGGAAGAAGAAGAGGAGCTGCCGGGCTCGTGCTACCGCTGTACAGCCATCCACCGGCAACACGAGGGCCTCACCTGCCGATGCCCGTGCCATGCAGGTTTGCCTGTGCTCCGTTCACCCCCCGGTTGTTATTCGCCACCTCGCCAAAGTCCCACCCCTCGCCGTACCTGGTGTGTGTGTGGATGTGCCATTGCAGGGGGTGCAGGGGCGTAGGAAAACGAATGGAGCACAAGCAGAGCTGGAGGGATGCGACAGCAGCGGTGGGCGAAATGCGAGTGAGCATGCCATGAGTATGAATATTAGAATGCAATTTAGTGGGCAGAGGCATGACTCATGAGCAGTTGATTCTGCTGATTCTCACAAGTAAGAGGGCACCATTCCATTGAGACCGTGAGACACATTTCAAAATTTCATGCTCACAGGTAGATGGCCTTGCCGTCCACCCCATGCTCCTCGACTGTGAGTGCGTCCAGTGCCGATCGGATGCGCAGCTGAGGGCGAGGCAAGAAGAAGAGGCAGGGAGACGAGGCAGGGAGACGAGGCAAGGAGAAGACAAGTAAAGACATAATGGGTGTGAAGAGAATGAGAATGATTTAGCGGTGCGTAAATCGCTCATCATGTTGAACAGAATTCACAGCAGCACTCACCATGGTGTGCTTCATGAGGTGCCCCATGAGGTCAAACCGGAACCCATCCACCTGCCAAGCAATGGCGCCAGGGATCAGAGCTAATGTATTAACGTTGAGAGAAGAGGTGTTGGCGCGCTGGCATCGTTGTGTCTGACGAAGACGTGACCGTTTCAAACGTGATTTTGCGCACACATAAGAATGCTTCAAACGTGAGTGTTCTCAAGACGTAGCTGTGCTGTAAATGTAACTGTGTTCCGAACATGACCTGGTTCTGGTTACATTCAGTTAGGTTGCACCACAAGTACCAAGAAATCACAATCTATCTGAAACAGGGAATGAAGAAATCCTTCAGGCATGACTCACCTTGTACTGCGTGGCCCACATGACCACATCATCCACTATGAGCCGCTCCACCATGGCATGCTCACTCGCCGTGTTGTTGCAGCACGCACTGCTCTCCACGCGCCCCTCCACGTCCCTCCGCATGTAGTACCCGGGTACCACCTGGTGGGAGGTCGGATCAGCAAACATATTAACCGACTGAGGGGCCACAAAGGCCTACCCTCTCCACGCGCCCCTCCATGCCCTGCCGCACATAGTAACCTGGTAGGTACCACCTGGTGGGTACGATGGGTTGATGGCAATGTGGGAGGATCAGCAGCAAATACCTCTTCCCCGCGCGCCTCCCCATGTGCTGCTGGACATACTACCAGAGAACCGCCTGGTGGACGCATTCAAGTGGATGGGAGGATCAGTGTGGCAAAATGGGTACGATGGATGGAGAAAAGAGACAAGTAATTCATTCTCAGACATTCCATAGAGACGATGAGCCAAGGCTGCATCTGAGTTGAGTCATCTGCCCTCGCCCCACGAAGTCCCACCGGCCAGCATGCAGTGATTGGCCGGACTGGTGCATAGTCGGGACGTAGTCAGTTGCATAAACGGTGGGTCATTGAGTGGAGTCGAACTGGTGGCAGTTGGGAGGGGCGAGGGGCGTGTTTGGCTGCGCTGCTCTCCTGTGGCCTGGTCCCTCCGTGTGTGATGCTGCAAGGAGTGGCATGGCCGCACCCATGGACTCACAGAGGGGGTGGATGAGGGATGTGGAAGGAGTGGCGGTGCAGAGAGGGAGCAGCAGCACAGAGAAGGAGTGCAAGGGTAAGCAATGGGAAGCAGCTGTCACACGATATCTGCCGCACCTTATCGAGCACGGAGAAGGGGCTGTGAGGGCCGCTGGCGTAGAGGTGGTTGTAGACCACATCCAGCACCACCCTCAGTCCCATGCCGTTCACTGCCTGCCCACACAGCACGTCACATGCAGGCAGAGGGAGAGAAAATAGCAAAAGAAAACATAAGTTTGTCTGTGGGGAAACGTCACAGGCGCAGAGGTGGTTGTAGACCACATCGAGCACCACCCTCAGCCAGCCCCAGGCCGCTCACTGCCTGGCCATAGCCCGCCGCCAGCGATGGGTGGAGAGGGTGAGGAATGGCATGTCCCAGGGGGGCACAGGGAGGGAAAATAAATCCCCATAGTTTGTTTTGGAAGGAACGTGTCCGGCTATTTGATGATCAGTGTGTGTCAGGTTGGAGTTTCCTTGTGCAGGGTATGTGGTAGGTGTTACTGGCAGCAGGTCACAGGTATGCATGTTGCCTACTCACTAGCACCCCATACTCACCTGCACCATGGAGCGGAACTCGAGGGTGCGAGCAGCGCCATCAGCGTGGGTGGCATAGCTGCCATCTGGCACACCCCAGTGCACCGGGTCGTACCTGGGGGAGGGGGGCGCGGGGAAAGGGGGATGGAGGGTAGGTGGGGTGGGCGGCAGTGTGGGCAAGGGGCATGTGGGACGGGGGGGATGCAGGGCGAGGGGCAGGTGTACAGTGAGGGAGGCGTGGGGAAGAGAGCATGTGTTTTGCTGGGATCACAGCGCGACCAAGCGCCCTCCATCACCACCAGCTGCCACTTCCGCCTGGAGGGAAGGCGAGCGTGTCGCTGATGGCAGTAGGTGTGGCGGGCCAGGCAACAGCTTCACCATGCCATGTGGCACTCACTCAACCACGGCTGTAAGAACCAAATGCACTGTGCACGCACGTAAAACCCAGAACTCCAACCTGACCGCTGGAGGGCGCCGAGCTGGAGGGCGCTGAGCTGGAGGGCGCCGAGCTGGAGGGCGCCTGGCTGGAGGGCGCCGAGCAGGAGGACGGCGTCCTGGGCGCCTGGACGCCGACCTGGGCGTCTGGACGGCGTCCTGGGCGCCTGGACGCCTAGGTAGGCGTCCGGACGCCGACCTGGGTGCTGGGACACCTCTTCTGGGGACGCCGGTCTGGTGTAGCCGGCGTCCGACTGGGCTGGGCGACCAGGCGTGGTTGCCCGGTCGACCGAGTTACCCGGGCGACGTGTGCGATGGTCGCCGAGGTGGTTGCTGCGAGGCCGACCTCGGAAGTGGTATCCCGAGGTCGACGTGGCTGGTAGGCGCAGTCGCTGGCGTGGACTCGACCTGGACGTCTGCGCTGTGCACGTGACAAGGAGTGGTGCACCAACCAGCTGCACGCACCTGCGAAGTAGGTGCACCGTTGTCCAGCGGGTGCAACGCTGTGCAGCCGACTTGCTGCAGCGTTGGCACACCGTGGACTTGCAACGTTGGCAAACGGCTACTCTGCAACGCTGGAGCGGTGCGAGCTCTGCTGCGCTGGATCGCGGCCGACCATGCTGCGCCGGAGGTCGACCAGCGGCCTAGCTAGCTCTGATGTAGTCTGTGTTGCCAATGTTGTATCTACCATTGACGTCAACTTTTGCTAGTGAAACTCTTGCCGGATTTCCCCGTGAATGCGCAAGTAGTAAGAGCACGAGTATACGACTAAGGAACGAACGCAGAGATCACTCCTACCCCGTGCCTAGCCCGTAGTCTAGCTCCCGTTGAATTAATTATCTCCGCATGGTGCGGTGAGCGTGGACGGCACCGCGACATAGTTTTCAGTCTAGTCGACTTAGTCTCACTTACCTAAGTTGTTCATAGGCCGGCAGCTAGTCACCACCATGGTTGGCGTAGGTGACACTGGTGTTGCAGACACCTTAGAGGCACGGCTGGAGGATTCGAGGAGACGCCATGAGGCGCGCGAGTACCGGGACATCCCCTGGGCGGTCGTCGAGGCTGGCATCCGCGCCGTGTGGGCGACGGAGCACCCTTCTCGACCTGCTTCTCCTCGACCGGTGAACGACGAGGGCGGCGTCGACGTGGGCGTCCACGCCGGTGACCAAGTCGGCAGCAGTGCGGGAGGCACGTCGAGGCAGCGAGGTGTGATTCATGCCGATGAAGTCGGCGGCGTTCAGGCGCGAGGGATGCGGTCGTCGGCGGCTGCAGGGTCCTCGCAAGACGACGTTGGAGGTCGACGAAGCGGATTGACGCCGTCGTCGGCGACCCATGTGACAGCGGGCGGGATAGCGCCGAGCTACGGCTACTTCAAGTTTACGCCGGACAGGATCTCTGTCACCCCCCTGCTGGTTGGTCGACCTGACATCCTCACCTGGAAGGAGGCGATCGAGCCCCAGCTGGAGATGGCCGGGCTGAAGTGCTTTGCCGACGGCACCGTGGAGACGCCGCCGGAGAGCAACCCCGAGCTGCGCGCGGAGTTTCGTGTCGTGCAGCTGCTGACCTTCACGGTCATCTCGCGGTGCTGCTCGCTGGGCGTGCAGATCGCCTTGAAGTCGTGCAGGGACTACCTGGACGCCGGCCACCAGGCGTGGCACTTCATCGAGTCTACGTACCAGGTCACCGACGAACTGTACATCGGACAGCTCGAAGAGCAGATGACGCATCTGCGGATGGGCGACCAGGAGACCGCGACCGACTACTGCAACCGTGCTCGGCGACTGCTCGCCACGATGCGGATGGCCAGCGTCCAGTACTTCACGGCGGCGTACGTCACGCACGTCCTGAAGGGGCTCCCGAGCAGCTACAACCTGATGAAGCGGATGTCGGTGGTGCCGAGCACGCGGGCGACGCTCAATGAGGACTCCTTGACCTCATACATCCTCAGGGACGAGGCAATGCAGGAGGCCGAGCGATCCATAGAGCTCCTGCCGCAGGCTAACCATGTCGCCCCGGCGAAACAAGGAGGCCGACCGGGGCAGCGTGGCTAGCCAAGCGGCGGTGGTAGCAGTGGTGGGAAGCCGACCAAGGACGCCGACAAGCACAGGTCGGCCAAGGATAGCGGTCGAGGAGGAGGAGATCGGCGCCGGGTATGCTGGCTGTGCGGCGACCCCGACCATCTCTCCTTTGAGTGCCCCTGACCGCAGTGATTCCGACGACGACGACGCCAAGGGAGGCCGCGGGAGGTCGGCCAGTCGTCACCCACGTCGGAACAGCAAGCCGCGCAAGGAGAAGCAGTCGAACAAATCGACCTCGGCGAAGGACGCCGACTCCTCTGCTGGCGGCAAGGGGCGAGACGACAAGGAGGAGTCGTGCTCGCTGGTCGGCGTCGTAGAGCCGACCGTCTCGCTGGCACCGGAGGCCGGCACGGACTTTCAGGCGGTTGCGGCAGCTGTGCAGGCGAACCCGGCGGTGGTCCTGCTCGACAGCGGCTGCTCGCACCACCTGATGGGGACGAAGGACGCCTTCGTCGATTCGTAGCCGAGCTGCGACGTCAAGCACGTGCGCGGCTTCAATGGAGCGCTGCAGGACGTCCAGGGTCGTGGCACTGTCGCCCTGCACGGAGAAGCCGGGAAGCAGGTGCTCATCCCCGACGTGCTCTACGTCCCGGGTGTGTAGGCGAACTTGATGTCAGCCGGCCAGCTGAAGGAGAGTGGCGTGAAGCTGGAGGACGACGGCGACGGGATGCTGCTCGTCTCGGCGGCAGGGGACGTCCTCGGTCGGGCAACCTACACCGGTCGTGTACTCTGCACCGACCAGCGTCCTTGCTCGGCGAAGTCGGCGACGTCCACGACGGAGGTGGTGGCCCTTCGGGCGATCGTCTCGGCGACGAAGTCGACGCCGGGCAGGTGGCACACGAGGCTCGCACGCGTCGGCGTCGACACCATCACGAGCTCGGCGAAGCACGAAGTTGCCACCGGCCTGGACATCAAGCCGTCGGCCGGCACCGACTCGCCGTGTGTCTCGTGCGTCGGCGGGAAGCTGGCGCGGCACACCTTCTCCGACAATGGCTCGGAAGCCGAGGACGCTCTGGCCGTCGTGCACATCGACTTGTGCGGGCCGTTCCTGGTGGCGGCTAAGGACGGGAGCATGTACTTCCTGCTGCTGAAGGACCGCAAGACCCACTATGTGTGGGTGAAGCCGGTCGCCAGGAAGTCAGACGTGCTGCGGGAGTTCGAGAAGTGGCTGGTGGTGGTTGAGCGGCAGGCGAAGAAGCCAGTGCTGATGCTGCGCTCCGACCGGGGAGGGGAGTTCCTCGGGAAGGAGTTCACCGCCTTTGTGGACGGAAAGGGGATCGTCAACGACCTGACCTGCCCGTACACCCCGCAGCAGAACGGCATGGCGGAGCTGGAGATGAGGACGGTGGTGGAGTCGGTGCGGACGATGCTGCTGCACATGGGTGTGCAGCACCACTGGTGGCACCTCGCTCTGCGGGAGGCCGTCTAGGTCCGCAACTGCCTTGAAAGGTCGACGCTGCCGCCGGGGACGACGCCGTACCAGCTGCTCTCCGGGAAGAAGCCCGACTTGTCGCTGGCCCACGTATGGGGATGCATGGCGCAGTTCCTTGTCCCCGAGCTGCAGCGCGGTGGGAAACTGAAGCCGAAGGCCAAGTGGGGCCTTCATCTCGGCGTGTCGGAGGAGAGCAAGGGATGGGAGATCCTGGACCTCACCGACAGCAGGGTGGCCACCACGTCGGACGTGGTGTTCTACGAGACCATGTCGCTGGAGGTGTGGAAGTCGGAGCATGGGCCGGCGTCGGGGCGGACGCAGGTTAACCCGCCGACAGACACCTCGACGGCGACACTCCCTCTGCTCGCCGAGGTCGGTGAGCTTACTGATGCGGACGCCGAGGTCGTCCGCCCTCGTTCCCCTACCCCTCCCCCCCCTGCCCCTCCCCTTGTAGCCGACCTGCGTGGGCTGACTCCGGTGTCGGCCGTCGCCAATGAGGGGAGCAGTGGGGCGTCGCCTGTGGCGCCGGCCAAGAGCATCGCCGGTGGCCGACGTGACGTCCAGCAAGTCGGCGTAGGAGTGAAGGTGACGCCGACAGGGGAGGAGCAGGCCGAGGAGATGCAGCCGACTTTGGTGAAGCCGGCGACGGAGGCATCGGCGGGGCAGCAGCCGACAGGGGAGCAGGCAGCAGCGAAGCCGGCCACGGAGCAGTCGGCGACCGGGCAGTCGACAGGGGAGCCGACCACAGGGGAGAAGTCGGCGGGGCACCCGACCGTGGTGCAGTAGGACGCTGAGGGCAGTGACGCCGGTGAAGATGAAGCCGAGCAGGCAAACGCCGAGGAGTCCACCAACAGCGACGTGGTGGAGACCCAGAATGGACCAAGGCGTATAGGCCGACTTCGGAGACCGCCCGACTTCTTCGTACCGGCTGCCTTCAACATGGCGTACGACGAGGTCGACGACGACCTGCTGTATGACAACGCCGAGGAGGATGAAGACCTGCCGGAGCTCGACCCCGACATGCACGCCGACCCCGAGCACCGTTGGGACATTGCGACGATGACGGTGAAGGAGGCGTTGGCAAGCTGGAAGGGCAAGGCGGTGAAAGCCGCGATGGAGGAGGAGATCCGCAACCTCATCGGCATGAGAACCTGGAAGCTGGTCGAACGCCCACCTGGGGTGAACATCATGAAGAACCGGTGGGTGCTGACGACGATGTACCGCATCGACGACACCGTCGAGCGCGAGAAGGCGAGGCTGGTTGTGAAAGGCTTCACGCAGGTGTATGGCGCCAACTACGACGAGACGTACGCGCCGATGAGCAGCTATGTCACGCTGAGGATCTTCCTCAGCATCGTCGCCGTCCTCGACCTCAACCTGATGCAGCTCGACATTAAGAACGCTTTCCTGCAGAGCAAGCTCGACCGGGTTCTATATATGTACCAGCCGGACCACTTCAACGACGGGACCGGCCGGGTGTGCAAGCTGTTGAAGAGCCTTTACGGGCTGAAGCAGTCGCCGCTGCTGTGGTACAGGGCTCTCGATGGCGTGCTGCTGGGCGCTGGCTGGAAGAAGAGCCAGGTCGACACGGCGCTCTACTTCAAGGTCGGCGACAACGGAGTAACCTGCTGGGTGACATCGCCTTCGCCCGCAGCAAGCTGGGCAGCGGCCTCACGGTGAGGAGCGACCAGCACTGGCGCGAGGTCGACCGCTGCCTCGCCTACCTCGCCAACACGCGTGACACCGCCCTGGAGTTCGGCGGTGGACCTGAGTCGCTGAAGCTGGTCGGCTACGTGGACGCCGACGACAACGACGACAAGCAGAACCGGACGAGCACGGGTGGCTACGTGTTCGTCTACGGAGGGGCCGCGGTCTCCTGGTCGAGCCAGCGCATCAAGTGCGCGACGTTGTCGTCGACCAAGTCGGAATACATGCACGGAAGCCGGCAAGGAGGGATGCCGCCTTCGCTTCCTCCTTGCAGAGTTCCGGCAGCTGGACGCCGGGACGCCGACCGTCCTTCGCGTGGACAACAAGTCGGCTATCACGGTCGCTGAGAGCATGGGGTTGACGGGCAACCTCAAGCACATGGAGTGGCGACAAGCTTGGCTGCAGCACATGGTGAAGCGCGGGAAATTCACAATGAAGTACATCCCAACCACCGAGCAGCCGGCAGACTACCTGACGAAGGCGCTGCACTACCCGGCCTTCAACCGGTGCTCCGTCGCAATCGGCCAAGTGCGCCTGGCCGACGTGGGTGACGGTGACGACGACGTGCAGCAGTAGGTGCTATGCCCTCTTGCTGGTGCGGTGACCGGCGTGCTGTGTGTTGTGTGCCACCGACGAGCTATTCTCGGAGTGGTGCTGCCGTGTGGGCTGGGGACCCAAGCGTGAACGCGGCAGGGGAGTGTAAACGAGAGTTGTGGTTGGCCCCGTCCTCGCTTGGGCGGAGCCGACTTCGTAGTCGGGTGTGCGGGGAGCGCAGCCGATCAGTTGCAGTGAGGGCGCCGAGCTGGAGGGCGCCGAGCTGGAGGGCGCTTGGCTGGAGGGCGCCGAGCAGGAGGACGGCGTCCTGGGCGCCTGGACGCCAACATGGGCGTCTGGACAGCGTCCTGGGCGCCTGGGCGCCGACCTGGGCGTCTGGACGGCGTCCTGGGCGCCTGGACGCCGACCTGGGCGTCTGGACGGCGTCCTGGGCGCCTGGACGCCGACCTGGGCGTCTGGACGGCGTCCTGGGCGCCTGGACGCCTACCTAGGCGAACGGACGCCGACCTGGGTGCTGGGACACCTCTTCTGGGGACGCCGGTCTGGTGTAGCCGGCGTCCGACTGGGCTGGGCGACCAAGCGTGGTTGCCCGGTCGACGAGGTTACCCGGGCGACGTGTGCGATGGTCGCCGAGGTGGTTGCTGCGAGGCCGACCTCGGAAGTGGTATCCCGAGGTCGACGTGGCTGGTAGGCGCAGTCGCTGGCGTGGACTCGACCTAAACCCTAAACTCTAAACTCCTACACGTGCCTAGCCCGTAGTCTAGCTCACGTTGAATTAGTTATCTCCGCACCCCACCCCCACCCCATGCCGTTAGGCACGCACCCACAGCTGCATACAATCCAAGTACCGAGCACGGCAAACCCACTCACCCCCAGTTGTACGCGTCTACATCCTTCACGGCTGCTACAGCTGCCTGCTGGCGATCCGAGTCAGGCGAGTAGCTCCTGAGGGAGGGCTCATCTGCAATGGTGGAGGGGGGTTGGGGCGGGCAGTGGGGAGGATGGCATGCATGGAGAGCACATGCAGGCACACTGACCAACAGAGCACAGAGGGAGAGCAAGGAGTGGCACTGACCAACGGCCTGCCAGGTGGTCTTGTCCTCGTTGACCGAGCCGAAGTCGTAGGCTGGCAGCAGGTGCAGGTGGGTTAGGCCGCTGCCTGCCAGCTGAGTGAGGTGCTGCGCGCCCTGTGATTGCTGTGGGAAGGGGTGATGGAGAAGAGATGGAGGAGAGAGTGAGGAGAGAGGGAGGAAGACGCAGGGGGCAATAGTGTACATGGACGTGTATGTAGGAAGGTAAGAGGAGTAATAACAGCATCGGAAACAGCATACTCATTGAAACGTTTTGTAAGGAGAGTCGATGAATAGCACGTGGACGGAGACATGAGAGGTGGGGCGGCATGGAAGCAGTGGGGCTCATGCAATGAGCAGCGGGTTGGCGGGGTGTGGAAGGGAGTGGGGCAGGTGTGGTGCGGCGTTGGGGAAAAGTGGGGCAGGAGCAGGAGTGGCAGGCAGGGGTGCACGCACGAGGTGGGTGAAGGCGAGGTACGTTCCGCGGTGGGGCTCTGGCACCGAGGGGTCGCACGCACTGATGGATGCATTGGGTGCATGGGTGGTGATGAGAGTACATGGGAGAACGGGGAGAGAGGGAGGGAATGGGAGAGATTGGTGGGAAGTGAGATGGAGAGAGAGAATGCCATGGACATGACTTGTCACATGGAATATCAGGGAGCGGAGCAGAGCAGACCTGTAGGCAGTACCAGAAAAGGTTTAGGCATTATATGCTTCGCAGTTGAATGTGAGTGAGCGCTGTGAGTGCACGAGAGCTGTGAGTGCAGTGAGTTCATGTGAAGGAGGGCACCTGAAGTCACGGATGTGAAGCTCGTAGATGGACACGTCTGAAAACGAGTGCAGGGGCGGCTTGCGGCGATGCAAGTTAGACCAATCAGACGGCGCCAGCGAGGCATCACTCAGGTCAACCACCAGTGAGCGCTCTCCATTGGCTGAGAGACTGATGGGGTGGGGGAGAGGGGAAGATGGCAGGGCAAATAGCAAGAGCAGCCCATGAGGCGAGGCTCCAGCAACCAGGGCGGGACGAGGAGAGACAAGAGCAGAGCGTGAGCTGGTGTTGACGGCAATAGCAAGAGTGGGTCGTTCCATCACACTTGGGTTGGGGTTGCTTACGAGTCAACGAGCATGCGTGAGTCAGTGAGCTGCAGGCGATGGCAGAGGCAAGGCACAAGAGGAGAGAGGGCGGAAGTGCATGCATGGCACGGTTGAAACAAAGTATGGAATACCGGAAGAGAAGGTACGTACCCGCGGGAGTAAGGGTCCGTGGTGACACATGTCTCGATCCTATTGGTGGAGGGATGGAAGACCCGGATCTCGTACTGATAGTACATGCCCTGCCATGCCATGGGGCCCTGCGCGCTCCACTGGCCCTCACTGCCCCTCTCCATGGACTGGCGCGCCACAGGAGGGGATGCATGTGGCTGGTCGCACAGCAGCAGCGTTACCTCCTGAGGGGGAGAGTGATTGAGGGAGAGAGACGGAGGAGAGTGAAGAGAATGAGTGGAGGAGGTGAGGAGAGGTGGAAATAGGCAACGAGAGGTGAGGAGAGGAGAGGTGAGGAGAGAATCGAAGAAGATTTAAGACGAAGCTTCTGAACTGTCTGAGAAGGAATCTCCAAGAAGCTCAAGAGCTAGTGGCGCAGGTGGCTCAAGAGCTAGTGGCGCAGGTGGCTCAAGAGCTAGTGGCGCAGGTAGCTCAAGAGCTAGTGGCGCAGGTGGCTCAAGAGCTAGTGGCGCAGGTGGCTCAAGAGCTAGTGGCGCAGGTAGCTCAAGAGCTAGTGGCGCAGGTGGCTCAAGTGCTAGTGGCGCAGGTAGCTCAAGAGCTAGTGGCGCAGCTGGCTCAAAAGCTAGTGGCGCAGGTGGCTCAAGAGCTAGTGGCGCAGGTGGCTCAAGAGCTAGTGGCGCAGGTGGCTCAAGAGCTAGTGGCGCAGGTGGCTCAAGAGCTAGTGGCGCAGGTGGCTCAAGAGCTAGTGGCGCAGGTGGCTCAAGAGCTAGTGGCGCAGGTGGCTCAAGAGCTAGTGGCGCAGGTGGCTCAAGAGCTAGTGGCGCAGGTGGCTCAAGAGCTAGTGGCGCAGGTGGCTCAAGAGCTAGTGGCGCAGGTGGCTCAAGAGCTAGTGGCGCAGGTAGCTCAAGAGCTAGTGGCGCAGGTAGCTCAAGAGCTAGTGGCGCAGCTGGCTCAAGAGCTAGTGGCGCAGGTGGCTCAAGAGCTAGTGGCGCAGGTGGCTCAAGAGCTAGTGGCGCAGGTAGCTCAAGAGCTAGTGGCGCAGCTGGCTCAAGAGCTAGTGGCGCAGGTAGCTCAAGAGCTAGTGGCGCAGCTGGCTCAAGAGCTAGTGGCGCAGGTGGCTCAAGAGCTAGTGGCGCAGGTGGCTCAAGAGCTAGTGGCGCAGGTGGCTCAAGAGCTAGTGGCGCAGGTAGCTCAAGAGCTAGTGGCGCAGGTGGCTCAAGTGCTAGTGGCGCAGGTAGCTCAAGAGCTAGTGGCGCAGCTGGCTCAAGAGCTAGTGGCGCAGGTGGCTCAAGAGCTAGTGGCGCAGGTGGCTCAAGAGCTAGTGGCGCAGGTGGCTCAAGAGCTAGTGGCGCAGGTGGCTCAAGAGCTAGTGGCGCAGGTGGCTCAAGAGCTAGTGGCGCAGGTGGCTCAAGAGCTAGTGGCGCAGGTGGCTCAAGAGCTAGTGGCGCAGGTAGCTCAAGAGCTAGTGGCGCAGGTAGCTCAAGAGCTAGTGGCGCAGCTGGCTCAAGAGCTAGTGGCGCAGGTGGCTCAAGAGCTAGTGGCGCAGGTGGCTCAAGAGCTAGTGGCGCAGGTAGCTCAAGAGCTAGTGGCGCAGGTGGCTCAAGAGCTAGTGGCGCAGGTGGCTCAAGAGCTAGTGGCGCAGGTGGCTCAAGAGCTAGTGGCGCAGGTAGCTCAAGAGCTAGTGGCGCAGGTAGCTCAAGAGCTAGTGGCGCAGCTGGCTCAAGAGCTAGTGGCGCAGGTGGCTCAAGAGCTAGTGGCGCAGGTGGCTCAAGAGCTAGTGGCGCAGGTAGCTCAAGAGCTAGTGGCGCAGGTGGCTCAAGAGCTAGTGGCGCAGGTAGCTCAAGAGCTAGTGGCGCAGGTGGCTCAAGAGCTAGTGGCGCAGGTAGCTCAAGAGCTAGTGGCGCAGGTAGCTCAAGAGCTAGTGGCGCAGCTGGCTCAAGAGCTAGTGGCGCAGGTGGCTCAAGAGCTAGTGGCGCAGGTGGCTCAAGAGCTAGTGGCGCAGGTGGCTCAAGAGCTAGTGGCGCAGGTGGCTCAAGAGCTAGTGGCGCAGGTGGCTCAAGAGCTAGTGGCGCAGGTGGCTCAAGAGCTAGTGGCGCAGGTGGCTCAAGAGCTAGTGGCGCAGGTGGCTCAAGAGCTAGTGGCGCAGGTGGCTCAAGAGCTAGTGGCGCAGGTGGCTCAAGAGCTAGTGGCGCAGGTAGCTCAAGAGCTAGTGGCGCAGGTGGCTCAAGAGCTAGTGGCGCAGGTAGCTCAAGAGCTAGTGGCGCAGGTGGCTCAAGAGCTAGTGGCGCAGGTGGCTCAAGAGCTAGTGGCGCAGGTGGCTCATGAAAACTGGTTTGAAGAGATCGCCACTGTTAGCGTGGTTGCCTTCCGCCAGTGGTATGGTATGATTAGCTGGTGAGGACAAGCACACCAGCGAAGGATGAAAGGCACCAGCGAAGGATGAAAGACACCAGCGAAGGATGAAAGGCACCAGCGAAGGATGAAAGGCACCAGCGAAGGATGAAAGACACCAGCGAAGGATGAAAGGCACCAGCGAAGGATGAAAGACACCAGCACAGCACGTGCTCACACACACTGCATGGCACATCATGACATGAGGTCAGGTAAGACGTGAATGCTCAGAAGCAAGCAGTGGGCGCCCCACCAGCAGGCACGTGAATGCTCACAGTGCCACTGGGTCCCCAGCCCCCCCCCTGCCTTTTCAGGTGACTCACGCACACGTCGATTCACAAGTCATGCTCGTGACCCTACTGCACCTGAGCTGTAGGCGCCCACACGTGAATGCTCACGCTGCCACTGCCACCGGACCACCAGCCCCCCCCCTGCTTCTCCACGTGCGCTCCCAGCGGCCCCTCGTAGCCACACAGTGCGTCCAGTGCCCCTGCCAGCTGCAGGCACGTGGCGTCCATGGGCGTGCCGGATGCTGTGGGATGAGGGGAGAGGGATCCAGGGGGAAGAGGGTTACAGGGAGAAAGGGGTCGGGAGCAGTGAGGGATGATGAGACGAGTGCAGCAAGCATGACGGTGCGTCTAAGGCGCCTGCCAGCTGCAGGCACGTGGCGCCGATGGGCGTGCCTGATGCTGGTGGGTGGGATGAGGGGAGAGGGTTGGGCAGGACATAGTGTACTGAGAGGGGAGCGGAAGTGCAGAGAGAGGGCGCAGCAAAGAGCAGGGCGCATTGAGAGGCAGTGCCGGCCGGCTGCAGTCATGGACGTTGATGGGCGTGCTTGATGCTGCTGCTGACATGGCGGGTGGGAGGGAGGGGCAAGGTAAAAAGTGGTGGTAAGGAGAGGGATCAATAGCACAGAGCATTATTTCTCCTTGCAGCAGCAGGGAAACAGCAGGGGGCATCAAGCCCCCCTGCCAGCTGCAGGGTTGCAGCACCAGTAAGAATGTTGCTGCAGGTGTGGGTGAGGGAGGGGACGGAGTGGTTTAGAGGGATGATGCAACGCAAGGCAAGCAGAGAGGGAGCATGTGAGATGCGAGCAGCACAGCAGGGAAGCAGTCTTCCGTTGCAGCCGACGCAGCGCTCACATTGACATGCGTGCCCCCAGACAGACTCACTGCCATCCCTCGCTCAACTCTACAGCCTGCTTCCTGCATGCGAGCATCCTTCCTCTCGCCCTCCATCCTCACAGCCCAATGCCACCCTCCTCTCTCCCCTCACCCCTCGCCTCCACCCCCTCACTCCTCTCCCCACCACTCCCCCCTCCCCCCCCCCTGGCACCCACCAGAGGAGCAGGACCGGGCGGCCTGTGAGCCAGCCAGGTAGACTGGCCGAGCTACAGTTTAGAAGAAAATAAGAATTGCATAAGCCCTCGCCCCTCGCTTGCTGCCCCCCTCCCTGCTTCCCTGACACTCACCAGAGGAACAGGAGAGGGCAGTCTGTGAGGCAAGCAGGTGGTGCAGGTGGGGGAGGGGGGTGGCGGGCAGGCGCAGGCACGTGAAGGTCGCGAGGTGCGGGAACTTGCTGCGCACCTGCATGGGGGAGGGGGAAGCCAGAGGAAGAAGAAGAGTGGAGAGAAGTAGTGATGACGTTGCAGAGAGTGGGACGGAGTAGCAAGATGATGACTGAGATGAGATGTGTCACGCTTGAGTCGACTCCGCTCGAAACATGTGTCTTTGCAGCGTGCACGCACCATTGCACTAGACAGCATGCGATGCAGCATCACAGCACGCAGCAGTGGAGAGCGAGGCTTACAGCAGGTGAGAGGCCAGCAGGGTCCAGCGTGAGGGGAATCACGGCGTCCGCTCCTGATGTGCCCCGATGACGCAGGCAGGGCGCGAGGGAGGGAGGGAGGGAGGGAGGGAGGGAGGGAGGGAGGGAGGGAGGGAGGGTTGGTAGCAGAGGCACTGATGACGGTGGAACGGGGTGATAGTTAAAACGGGAGAGGGGTGGCTAGGTGGGGACAGCAAGGGGGGGGCCAGGCACGCAGAGGGGTTGGCATGGGGCTGCTGCAGGGATGGCATGTGCAGTGCAACAGCGCATCATGGAGAGCAGTAGAACAGCAGAGCATAAGGCAGCAGTGAAGGCACGTACCTTGCACACCGTCCGCTGTGAGCGAGAGTGAGGCGGGTTCACTGGCATGCAGGGCGAAGAGAATCTGCTCGCCATAGTCACTCTCGCTGTAGTCCCAGTCCACTGCAATCTCGTCCGCGGACACCCAGTGCGCCTTGAATAGATCCAAACTGCCCTGCTCGCATGCACACACACACACACACACACACACACACACACGCACACACACACACACACACACGCACACACACACACACACACACGCACACACACACACACACTCACACACACACACACACACACACACACACACACGCACACGTGTTGAGGGTTCACATGGTAGTGGTTTGTTGAGGGTGGAGAGTAGGTCCAATGTACCACCTGGAGCGCGGGACAGCTTCAGGCGGCCGAGAAGCAGGTTGGGGCCGGGGAGAAGCAGGTTGGGGCCGGGGAGAAGCAGGTTGGGGCCGGGGAGAAGCAGGTTGGGGCCGGGGAGAAGCAGGTTGGGGCCGGGGAGAAGCAGGCAAAGGTAGGGTGGAGGTACCTTGGGGAGGCGGTCGAGGTTGGGGGCGTGCAGGAAGGGGCGCTGGCAGTCGGAGATGAGCCACACTGTGGGGCCGCGCGGGGCGAGGGGGGAGGACGGTGGTGGTGAGGGCAGCGCTGCCATGTCTATCGCCCACGTGCAGTCCTGTAGGGCAACGGGGGCGAGGAAGAGGAGTGGGGATGGTGGGAGGGAGGGAGGGAGGGAGGGAGGGAGGGAGGGAGCGAGGGAGGGAGGGAGGGAGGGAGGGAGGGAAGGGTGAAGGGATGAAGGGAGGGAGGGAGGGAGCGAGGGAGGGAGGAAGGGAGGGAGGGAGGGGAGGAGGGAGGGAGGGAGGAGCAGGAAGAAATTAAAGAGAGGATGTGAGAGCCAGAGACGAGCAAGAGAGGATGTGAGAGCCAGAGACGAGCAAGAGAGCGAGAGAAAAGGGGGAGTGCAAGAAGAGAGAGATGAGCGATTAGAAGCATTGAGGAGACAAGGAGCTGGGGGTATGAGAGCGTGACGCTGTGATGGCAAGCATGGTGATGATGGCAAGCATGGTGATGATGGCAAGCATGGTGATGATGGCAAGGGCCACACGCGATGCTGCTGCCCGTCTTGCTGTGCGTAGTCACTTGCCGTCCACTGAGCGCGCGCACTTTAGTCAAGCATGGTGATGATGGCAAGCATGGTGATGATGGCAAGCATGGTGATGATGGCATTACTGAGATGGGTGCAACCGAGAGAGGCATAACGCATAGGGTGCGAGGCATGAGGCCAGAGGGCATGAAGTGTGCACATGGCATGTGGAACGGAAGACACAAGGCATGGGCAGTAAGAGCAGGACGGGTGGCACGGGAGGCGAGGAACAGTGCAGTGAAAGTGAGGCACGCACCTTCCAGTCCCCTCGGTGTGGCAGCACGTTCACTGTGCGCGCCTGTGGCTGCACCCGCACCCGCCACTCCACCCACTTCATGCCGCCACCACCAGCGCCAGCAACAACAGCACCAGTGGCAGCGGCAGGCGAGGAGTCCAGGGGGTGTTGCCAGTCGGTCTCTGCCTCCACGTCGCCCCACACGTGCAGCCCCCATCCATTGTAGTCACCGTCGGCCCTGCTAGCACATGGAGCAGCGCATGGCAGCATGGGAAGATGCATGAGCAGCAGCAACAGCACCAGTGGCAGCGGCAAGCGAGGAGGGCAAGCGGTGTTGGCAGTGGGTCTTGATCTCCACATCGCCCCACACGTGCAGCCCCCACCCCGTGTAGTCACTGTCGCCCATGCCAGTGCCAGCACACACAGCGGCGCATGGTGACACGGGAGGAAGCATGCATGAGGCCCTGGAAGCATTCATTTGCATGCCATCCACACTGATTCGGCATGCGTGCACTGATTTGCATGCTATGCTTCGCTTCACACCAGCCATAGCATGGGTATGAACCAACGCTGGAGCTGCCTTCGCAGTGGCCCACTCCCGGGGTATGTCATGTCGCCCTGCACTCCCAGGGGTATGCCATGTGGCCCTGCACTCCCAGGGGTATGCCATGTGGCCCTGCACTCCCGGGGTATGCCATGTGGCCCTGCACCTGTCCACACGCCATGGCACGAGCACGACCTAGACGACCTATATCATCAAGGCACGGACGGCCAGGATCACTCGCATACATGGATGGAATGTGTGCGTGCGTGCAGCAGCCCAGCACACACAACGAGCTGCCTCTTGATTTGACTCGAAGTAGATGACCGGCACGAGTCATGGCATTGCCTGGCATTGCGTGGCATTGCGTGGCATCTGTGTGCAGCCCAGCAGGACCGGAGATGCGACTTCCTGGCAGCACTGGCATGTGCGGTGGAGACATGGAGAGAGTGGGGTGCGTGGCGACAGGTGGGCACATGCCACGTGGCATGGCGTGTGCGTGTCGTCATAGTCTGCAGGCATGCACAGCTATAGCAGCTGATTACACGATGCCTGCCATACTGGACATTCCTCACCCCTTTCCCCCCCTCTCCCAGCACTTTCCTACCCTTTCTCGCTCCCTCCCCATCCTCTCCCACCGTTGTCCCCCTTCGCACCTATGATACACGACGCGCAGAATGTTTTCCCCCCCTGCGTGCCCGACACCTGCTCCTGCCTCCGCCCCTCCCCCCTCTGTTTCCGCCCCATTTCCGTCCCCCGCGGAACAGCGCGGAGTAAGCAGGGAAGCGCGCCGACTGGCGGACGCAGAGCGCGGACTAAGCAAGGCGCGCGCGCGCGGAAGGCCGGAGGTGGCGCACGCGGGGAGCATCGCGCGCTGCCCTTCTCGACCTAGCTGCGATCCGCCAGAGCGCGAGGAGACGGAGGACGCGGCGATGGAGGGGACGAGGGGGCGAAAGCACAGCGCGAAGGCCATGACGCGTCGCGAGAGCCTGTTGGCCGATCGCAGTACTAATCTCGATACGAATCTAAAGCTTCACTTCCAGTGAAGTCTGTGTCGCTCACTCGTTCTTTGCTGCTGCTCAGAGTGTATTGAATCCGACTGTGAACTAGCATGGTGGATATTTAGGATGGCGCCCAGGAGATGTTCACAGAATCATGTGCTGCATTCAACTGGACTCTGAAACGAACCTGAAACGCTGTAGCGTTTGGGTGGTGGTAAGGGCGTGTCCAGCGCGTACATTTACAGTTCATAAACCCATTCAGTTACCACATTTCCTATTGTAACACTGCATTTTACAAAAAGGTGGGACACGATCAGCTTCCGTTCACAAGACGGCACGCCCGCTGCGCGTACGACGAATCGTCTAACACACGTTACTGGAATCGGTGTGCGCGCGAACAAGGGTACAGCATTGCGTCCCGCTACAGTAATTTTCGTTCAAGCGTGGAATTTTCGCTTGTGCGTGAATTTCTGTGCGATGATAGACGAGGCAACCAGTTACCTCGTTTTCCACGAACTGTAGAAATTTGTGTGCAGAGGGTTGTGTCCGCGCGCTGGAAGGCCCAATCCTTCGGACTCGACTCACCTTATATTCGTTTTTTGGTACAGTGAGATTTTTTGAGCCGGGAAACGTGTGAAGGTACTAATATTCCCAAAATGTACGCGCTGGACACGCCCTAAGAGTGCAATTTCCAGGTGTTTGGGTGAATGTCACATGTAACTCAACCTGGGTGGCGACTTTCAATTTAGATCCTTAGTTGGCTGCTCTTATCAAGTGCAATTGAGTTAGCGACCTAAGATTGCACTATCGAAGCAAACAATACAATGAGAGAAGAACATCAAATCATTTACAGTGGCAAGAAATAATAAACTACGGCTTCAGGTCTTCTTTGCTGTTTTTTGTTTGGTTCTTGTTTTGTTTTTATATTTCCAGAAATTAGTAATAAATTAGTATGGTTAATAAAATGGAAAACGCAAAAACAAAACTTGCCACATCGATTGCAATCGGCTGCTTCGCATCCCCAAAAATAACAGCTCTCAAAAGACCTATGCAATTTTGTCGCCTAAGGCGCGGACACTCCCTCATAACCTCTGCCTTTGTTACATGGTGGTTGAGCGGCGGAGACTAACGAGAGCTAGATGGTGGGGGAGCGTCGGACCCTCTCAAGAGAGCTCTGCACCTTGAGGAGGGCGAGCTTGTCCTTGCCAATGCTGCTGCTCTTGATGTGGTCCGGGACGCTGTGGCGGTGCATCATTGTCACAAACTCGTTGTAGTCTATGCACTCGTCCTGTTGGTGGCCACAGGTGCAAGCGCATGGGTACACATGGTGGTGCGGTGGGGTGAGAGAGAGACCATGCTGCTGTGGCGGTGCATCATTGTCACACACTCGTTGTCTATGCGCTCGGCTCGCATGAGGAGCCCAGGTGCATGGGCGGGTAGGGTAGGGCATTGCCGGGTGTGGGCGGGTGTGGGAGGGCATGGGAGGGCATGGGAGCGCATGGGAGGGCATGGGAAACAAACAAACAAAGAATTCGTTCCATTATCCATACAAGGGCATGTCACGTCAGACGACTCACCCATCTCCTCCACGTTCTCCTCCTTCCTGCACAAATGAATGTAGCTTGCTCGCATCCACCTCACCTTGTTAACGTCCACTCCTGCATCATCTCATCCACATTCAGTGACACCTCATCTTGCTGTACTCACTACAGTGACATGCTGTACTCACTACAGTGACATGCTGTACTCACTACAGTGACATGCTGTACTCACTACAGTGACATGCTGTACTCACTACAGTGACATGCTGTACTCACTACAGTGACATGCTGTACTCACTACAGTGACATGCTGTACTCACTACAGTGACATGCTGTACTCACTACAGTGACATGCTGTACTCACTACAGTGACATGCTGCTGTACTCACTACAGTGACATGCTGTACTCACTACAGTGACATGCTGTACTCACTACAGTGATATGCTGTACTCACTACAGTGACATGCTGTACTCACTACAGTGACATGCTGTACTCACTACAGCAACATGCTGTACCATGTTAACATCCACCTCACCATGTTAACGTCCACCTCACCATGTTAACGTCCACCTCCTGCATCCTCTCCTCCACGTTCTCCCCCTAGCTGTACTCAATACAGTGACATGCTGTACTAAGTGAACGAACCTTGCTAACACATCAACCTCACCTCGTTAACAAACACATCAACCTCGCCTCGTTAACGCATCAACCTCACCTTGTTAACAAACACATCAACGGTCAACCTCACCTACTTAACACATCAAACCTCACCTTGTTAACAAATACATCAACGGTCAACCTCACCTACTTAACACATCAAACCTCACCTTGTTAACACATCAGCCTCACCTTGTTAACGTCCACCTCACCTTGTTAACATCAGCCTCACCTTGTTAACATCCACCTCACCTTGTTAACATCAGCCTCACCTTGTTAACACATCAGCCTCACCTTGTTAACACATCAGCCTCACCTTGTTAACACATCAGCCTCACCTTGTTAACACATCAGCCTCACCTTGTTAACACATCAGCCTCACCTTGTTAACGTCCACCTCACCTTGTTCACATCAACCTCACCTTGTTAACGTCCACCTCACCTTGTTCACGTCCACCTCACCTTGTTAACGTCCACCTCACCTTGTTAACGTCCACCTCACCTTGTTCACGTCCACCTCACCTTGTTAACGTCCACCTCACCTTGTTCACGTCCATCTCACCTTGTTAACGTCCACCTCACCTTGTTCACGTCCACCTCACCTTGTTAACGTCCACCTCACCTTGTTCACGTCCACCTCACCTTGTTCACGTCCACCTCACCTTGTTCACGTCCACCTCACCTTGTTAACGTCCACCTCACCTTGTTAACGTCCACCTCACCTTGTTAACGTCCACCTCACCTTGTTAACGTCCACCTCACCTTGTTAACGTCCACCTCACCTTGTTCACGTCCACCTCACCTTGTTAACGTCCACCTCACCTTGTTCACGTCCACCTCACCTTGTTAACGTCCACCTCACCTTGTTCACGTCCACCTCACCTTGTTAACGTCCACCTCACCTTGTTAACGTCCACCTCACCTTGTTAACGTCCACCTCACCTTGTTAACGTCCACCTCACCTTGTTCACGTCCACCTCACCTTGTTAACGTCCACCTCACCTTGTTCACGTCCACCTCCTGCATCATCTCCTCCACGTTCTCCGGCCCGATGCCAAACTCCTCACACACCTGCCATGCACGCTCATGCACACCCATGCACACCCATGCACACCGAGAAGTGAAGAGAAGAGAAGTTATGTAACAAGAAGGCTACTGGTGTCGCAACAGAGGGGCCATGTTCTCTCACGTTCTCCGACCCGATGCCAAGCTCCTCACACACCTGCCATGCACGCACCAAGGCAGGCAGGCAGTGGGCGGGCAGGCGGGCGAGCAGGCGGGCAGGGAAAAAGGGAGCATGCGGTCTTTGAGGCATGCGAACCAGAATGCAGTTGCTGCAGCTGTACCTGCTGTGAGATTCTCCCTCACAGTTACAAAGAAAATGCTCCCTCACACATCTCCTACCCAGGCATGGGGCATGGGAGCATGAGAACACAGGGCATAGGGGCATGGGGCCACACTGAAGGAAACGGGACTAGTTCCTCCCCATGACACACCATCCACATGCTACATCCAAAGCGTTCAGCCATGCCCCTATGGAACATGACACATGACACATGATTGGCTCTCCATTCATGTTCCTCCGCGCCACCTATCTGAGCTCGCCTTCGAAGATCAACCAGCTGCTGCCCCTGCCAAAGCACTGCAGGGCCTGATGCCCCTTCTCTTGCTTCACTGTCACGACGCACACCCAACCCAATGCCACCAGCAAATACACACCCACCTGAGTCAGCTTGCACCCAGCCAGTGATAAACCAGCTGCCATCCTTCTCCAAGTACTGGAACGTGTGGGGAAGGTTCTCCGTGATCCTTCCAAGGGGATACAACCACCATTCAACGCACCTGAGTGAGCTCATCTCGTGTGATGAAGCCGCTGCCGTCCTTATCAAAGTACTGGAAGGCCTGGTGCAGGTTCTCCTCCTTGATCATGCGGTTCAGCCCCAGCGTGGCCGCAAAGAACTCGTTCATGTCGATGCTCTCACTGTCGTTCACGTCCATCTGCCGTGTGTGTGGGGAGGGGGGGGGCGGGGGGTTGTGGGGAGGGGGAGGGGTGTAGGGAAGCAGATGAAGGGAGATTGAGCATTGGATGCCCCAGCGTGGCCCCAAAGAACTTGTTCATGTCGATGCTCTCACTGTCGTTCACGTCCATCTGCGGAGGGGTGTAGAAAGAGGGGGGCAAAAGGGGCAAGATGGGGAGCAGATAAAGGGGAGTGAGTGGAAATCCCAGCGTGGCTGCAAAGAAGCCGTTCACGTGGATGCTCTCACTGTCGTTGACGTCCACCTGCGGGAAGTGTGTTGGAGGGGGGAGGGAGGGGCATAAGGAAGAAAGGGGAGAGGGAGTGAGCGGAAACCACAGTGCGGCCGCAAAGAAGAACTCGTTAATGTGGATGCTCTCACTGTTGTTCACGTCGTGTGTAGAGAAGCAGATGCGAGGGTGAGGGAACGAGAGGGTGGGAGGGACAGAGAAAGAGCTTGGAAGGCCCAGCGTGGCGGCAAAGAATTCGTTCCTGTCGATGCTCTCACTGCCATTGGCGTCCATCTGCCGAGTGTGTGGGGGGGCGGGGGGGGGATTGGTATGTGGGGGAGGGGTGTAGGGAAGCAGATGGAGGGAGATTGAGCACTGGAAGGCCCAGCATGGCCGCAAAAAACTTTGTCGATGCTCTCACTGTCATTCACGTCCATCTGAGATGGCGTGGGTGTGGGGGATGGAGGGGAAAGGGAGAAAAAAGAGGAGCGGGAGAGCAGATGAAGAAGGAGTGAGTGGAAGGCTGGAAGCTGTTAGAAATAGGCTGTCAACATCTGCGTAATATATTTATATCCCGTAGGTTATTTGTAGGTTGGGTGTATATTTTTTATCCCAACCCTATCTGGTTGGGATTCTCCCGTAATCCAACCAATCTGCCAACTCATCAGTGGAGATCTGGTTAGATTCCCATCCCATCCATTCCCTAGCTTTGCTCAACCCAACCTTGTTTGTACTTAAGGCCTAGTGCCTTCTTTCTAAAATCTATCAATTCAAGCTCCATTTCTGACAGAAGCACACGTAGGGAGGGAGTGAAAGAGAGAGAGAAGAGAGAGGGAAGAGAGAGGGGCATACAAGGAGCAAAGTAAGAAACGAACGAGGCAAGCACCCAGTGAAGGCAGCTGACAGCAGAGTAGAGTAGAGTAGAGTAGAGTAGAGTAGAGCCATTCATTACCCCCGAAACCAGGGCATACGAGCATGCAAACAAGCAAGCCAGCCGATTGACTCACAGCGGAGAAGAGCTGTCTGAGCTCCCCTTGGTTCACGCGCGCGCCCATCTTGTGCAGCCCTCTTGGTTCAACGAAGAGTGGAGCCATCCATTGGTTCAAAGTATAACACGTTTTGGCCAACAACGGGGCATGCAAGGAGCAAACAAGCCAGCAGCAAGGCAGCATCACGGCAGGCGACTCACAGCGGAGTCGAGCTGCCTCAGCTCGCCCTCATTCATCCTCGCGCCCATCTTCTGCAACCCTCGGCTCAAAGTAGCACAAACAGGGACACACATGGAGCAAGCAGGCAAGTGGCAACCAAGGCGACTCACAGCGGAGTAGAGCTGCCTCAGCTCGCCCTCATCCATGCGCGCGCCCATCTTCTGCAGTCCGCGGCGCATCTCATCGAGGGAGAGCGAGCCGCTGTGGTCCATGTCGAGCTGGTTGAAGATCTCCCTCATGCCCAGGATCTCCTCCTCCGTCAACTGCTGCGCCACCACCTGATGGGGGCAAGGGGAGTAGGGGAGCGGGGTAGCGGAGTAGGGGAGTAAGGGGTATGGCGTGGTGGAGAGCCGCTGTGGTCCATGTCGAGCTGGTTGAAGATCTCCCTCATGCCCAGGATCTCCTCCTCCGTTAACTGCTGTGCCACCACCTGGTGTGAGCGGTATGGAGTGGAGTAGGGTGTGATGGGGTAGGGTACGGTATGGAAAGGTCTGCATGCTGAGCAGCCACCTGCATCGCATGCCCAGAATCTCCTCCTCCGTTAACTGCTGCGCCACCACCTGGCGGGGCCAGTATCAGCTAGAGCAGGGTGGGGTAGGGTAGGGTAGGGTAGGTAGAGTAGGGTGTGCTGGGGTCATGTAGGGCATGCGCATCTTGAGCAACCGTCCTCATGCCCACAATCCCCTCCTCCGTCAGCAGCTGCGCCACCACCTGGTGCGAGCGGTGTCGGGCGGAGCACGGTTCGGTATGGTGTGGAGGGGTGGAAATGGTGCGCGGCATTTGAGTCGTCTCCAGCATTCCCAGAATCTGCTCCGCCAGCTGGTGTGCTGTCATCTGGTGTGGAGGAAGATGGAGTAGGTGGGGTACGGTACGGTTAGGTGGGGTATGATATAGTGGAGTGCGCGGCATAATGAGAAAACTCTCGCATGCCCAAAACTCCCTCCTCTGTCACCTGCTGTGACAGCACCTGATGTGGACGGCATGGGGCACGGTAGGGTACAGGTTATGGTAGGGTGGAATAGGGTACAGTATGGTGGGGTGTGTGCAGTGCAGGATGAGGTCACATGTGGCAGGACAGGATGAGCAGCGCACCTGGGAGGCGAGCTTGCGGATGTGAGTCATGGCGGCGTATCGCTTGAGGCGGCTGAAGACTGTGGGGTCAAGCGGTGTGTCTGGTGCCACCCCCGCCTCGCTCACCCACGGGTGCTCTGCCTCACACAAGCATTATGGGGGGAGGGAGGTGGGGGGTGCGGGGTGGAGGGTAGGCCGGTATGTGGGGAGGCAGGCGCGACTGTGGGGTCCAAGGGCGTGTCTGGTGCCACTCCCGCCTCGCGCACCCACGGGTGCTCTGCCTCCCACCATGGTCCATGAGTATTATGGAGAAAGGGGGTGGGTGTGGTAAGGGGGGAGAGGGGTTATGGTGGTACGGGGCGAGGGCAAGGGGGAGACAGGCATGGCTACGGGGTCCATGGGCGCGCTGGTGACACCCCCGCCTTGCTCACCCACGGGTGCTCGCCTCCCACCAGTGCCGCGGGGGGGGAGGGGAGGGAGGGACGGAGGGAGGGAGGTGTGGTCGGCTGTTGTTACGCACCTGGCACTTGATTCGTCGTGAGTCTGGTGGCACCTGGCGGGTTGCGGTCCAGCATGCCCGGCACCACCTCCTTGGGAATGGGCCGATACCAGGCACGCGTATAGTGCTCTTACACAGCCATAAGCCCAGCCATGAACCCAGCCATGAACCCAGCCATGAACCCAGGCAGGAGCCACTGAACCCACCGAGCACTTGCTTGGCTGTGAGGCGCGTCTCAGGGTTGCGGTCCAGCATGCCCCGCACCACCTCCTTCGCCTGCTCCGAGATCAACGGCCACGGATCGCTCTCGTAGTCGATCTCGTCGTACATGATGGCGCAGAACAGCTCGTCCATTGTTGGTAGGTCTGAGGCGGGTGAGGAAAGGAAGGAGAGGAAAGGAGGGGGAAGAAAGGAGGGGGGGAAATGGTAGGGTGTTGATTGCAAGTGGCTCTCGTGGTCAATCTCATCGTACACGATCTACCCGGCACAGCACATTGTTGATTGCACAACACAGCTCGCCCATTGTAGGCAGGTCTGTGAGGCAGAGGGGTTGACCTGCTGCTTGTGATGTGGTGGTGGGCAGGTGTGCATCAAGAGAGTGGGAATGACAAATGCAGGTTGCTTAGGGTAGCCTTCACCCACTGTCCCATAGCTCTCTCTCCTCCCCCATGCTTCCTTATTCCCATGCCATGCCCTCGCATCCCCATGCCCTCTCAACCCCATGGCCTCGCATCCCCATGCCCTCTCATCCCCATGCCCTCTCATCCCCATGGCCTCTCATCCCATGTGACCCCCACCCCCCCCCTCACCGCTGAAGACATACCGGTGGGGAAGGGGCAGTAGCCGCAGAGCAGCATGTAGAGAATGACGCCTGCGCTCCACACGTCTACCTCGGGCCCGTAGTGGCACCCGTTGGTGCGCACCATCTCCGGGGCTAGATACAGTGGGCTGCCCGCTAGCCCTGCTGATATGGGCTCGCCTGGTGGTGAGGGGAGGTGGGAAGTGAGAGGAGAAAGGCATGAGAGGAGTGCGTCGTACCTGGGGTGAAGAAAAGCGAACCAAGGGGCTTTCCGTACCTGGGGTGACTTGGTTGGCACTCGGGTCCCAAGCCAAGGGGCTCTCCTTTCCGTACCTGGGGTGAAGAAGAGCGAGAGGCCGAAGTCGATGGTCTTGAGCGGCGCGTCGTCGCTGCGGTTGGCGAAGAGGAAGTTCTCGGGCTTGAGGTCGCGGTGCACCACGTTCATGGTGTGGCAGTAGTGCACCACCGATACCATTGTGCTCATGAGACGAGCCGCGTCGCACTCACTGGGAGGGAGAATGGGAAGGTATGAGGCAGGTGGGGCGGGAGAGAGGGAAGTGAGGGAAGGAAGTTCTCGGGCTTGAGGTCACGGTGCACGTGGTTCAATGAACGACGTTCATGGTGTGGCAGTAGTGCACCACCGACACCATCGTGCTGATCAGCCGCGCGGGATCGCACTCACTGGGAGGAAACGTGACGAAGAGAGGGAAGGGAAGGAATTTGTCGGGCTTGTGGTCACGCCCCCATGGCACAGCTCCCCCCATGGCACAGCTCCCCCCATGGCACAGCTCCCCCCATGGCCCCAGCCCAGAAACCCAGAACCTACCTGTAGTGGCCCTTGGCAATGATGCGGTCGTACAGCTCCCCCCCGTGGCACAGCTCCATGACGATGGCGACGCTCTTGGAGTCCTCAAACGCCGCCTGCACCTGCACCACGTGGGGGTGGCCCGCCAGGTGGTACAGAATGCCCACCTCGCGCTTCACCTCCGCCAGCGGCGTGCCCAGCATGAGCAGGCGCGTCTTGCTCATCTGCTTCACCGCAAACTCCTTTCCTGTTGCCCGCTGCCGGCATCGGTACGTCGACCCGAAGTGCCCCTCGCCCAGCTTCTCCCCCATCTCGTACTCCTCTGTCAGACAGCCTGAGGAAGGGGGGAAGGAAGGGGGGGGGAGAGGGGGGGGTGCTATTGGGCTCGCCCAGCTTCTCCCCCAGCTCGCACTCCTCTGTGAGGCAGCCTGGCACGAGGGGAAGGAAGTGGGGACGGCGGGGGGGGGGGGAAGAAGAGGGGGGGGGGAGCGGGAGAGAGAGGGGGAGAGGGAGAGAGGAGGAGGGGCGGACCGGAAGGAAGGTTGAAGGGAGAGGAGGGTGGGAGAATGAGCAGGCGCGTGTTGCTCATCTGCTGCTTCACCGCAAACTCCCTCCCCGCTGCCTGCTGCCCACTGCTGCCCCACGAGGTGGTAGGCCACACACAGACAGACCGGCTCACTCACCGGTGTTGAAGCTGAGAATGGGCTGCCCGGCGTGCGGCATGCTCTTGGCGATGGGCCCCCCCCCTCGCAGCAGCACGGCCTGCCCACCACTGCCGTCGTCATCATCCCCATTGCGCCGATCCGTGGACTCCCGTGCCGACCCGCCCACCGTGCTCTCCAGGTTCCGCCACCCTGCAGGGAATAGAGGGAGAGGGGGACGGGAGGGGGGTGACGGGGGAGTGGCAGGGGAGAGAAGGGGGTGGGCGGGGGAGAGAGGGGGGTGGGCGGGGGAGAGAGGGGGGTGGGCGGGGGAGAGAGGGGGGTGGGCGGGGGAGAGAGGGGGGTGGGCGGGGGAGAGAGGGGGGTGGGCGGGGGAGAGAGGGGGGTGGGCGGGGGAGAGAGGGGGGTGGGCGGGGGAGAGAGGAGGCCTGACCGCCACCACCGCCACCATCGTCACCATCACCATTGCGCCAGTCTGTCGACTCACCGTGCTCTCCAGGTTCCGCCACCCTGAAAGGGCGTGAGAGGGAGAGCGGGCGATGTGCATTGAGGGGCTTCAGAGGGGGTCCGTGGATTCCCGTGCGGACCCGCCTGCCTGTCCGATGGTGCTCTTCCAGGTTCCGCCTCTCTGACGGGGGAGACAAGGGGGGGCAGTCTGCATGGGTTCCAAACTCGTGCCGCACTGCCGCCCCGGCCATCGTGCTCTCTAGATTCCGCCACCCTGCACGCACGGGTGCGGATAGGCGGACATGGGAAGAAAGGAGAGGAGGGACTGAGGGGAGAGACAGGGGGGGGAGCCGAAGGGTTTGGGGTTGGTGAGATGGTGGAAGGGGAAGAGGGGGGAGAGGGGGTGGAAATGATGAGGGAGAGAAATACGCGGGCGGACGGTATGGCGCGGGCGGATGCTATGGCGCGGGCGGACGCTATGGCGCGGGTGCGCTGGTGGCGCGAGGGCGAGCGGACCAGCACGGGGTGGCAGTACAACGCACAGCCGGCGATGTGCGGGGGAGGCGATTGGAGGGGGAGGCGAAGTGCGGGGAGGCGACGTGAGGGGGAGGCGATGTGAGGGGGAGGCGACGTGAGGGGGACGCGACGTGAGGCGGAGGCGACGTGCGGGGGAGCGATATGAGGGGGAGGCGACGTGAGGGGGACGCGACGTGTGAGCTTGCACGGATCAGCTTTGTCATCACCGCTTGCCTCCTCGCGCTCAGCGTCTACCGGCGAATACCTTCTCGTGACATTGCTTGTACGCGTTATTGTCAGACCCGCTTGTCACTCTCCAGAGACCCGTGCGGCTGTTTGGCTTTGTCGGGGCGAGCACGGATGGTAGTACCAACGAGGAGGGCGAGAAGAATGGTCGGTAGCGACGACGGCGGTTGTTCCGAAGGAAGCACGCACGACGGCGGGCCTCTCTATCTGCGGGCAATGCGGCGCTAAGCGGGTTAAAGTTCGTGGGGATACTAGGTTGACCTGTTGAAGCTATTGATTGTCACAGCTATTGTCAAAACTAGCGCTAGTCATAAATAACAGCTATCGCGGCAACAGGCGTTGTCGAAACGTACGATTGTCAGCGGCGAACGGTCAGCGGACGCACTGCATTTTGGGGCGACACGCGATGGCCAGTTTCGTAAGCTTAAAAAAAAACTGCGGTGTAAAGGCCAAGCACAAGGCAGGTGATACCGCACGTGCATCCGCCAGAGGCACTGAAATACTCTTACTCGTGGCACTGTATCGGAACGTGCGGATGGCACGTACTATCTATAGCACGAGTACCACATACCACGGCAGTCCTAACAATGATTGCATAAAGCCGTTATTATGAAGTGGGGGGAGGACGGAGAGGTTTGGTTTGGACCAGGGCCCATCCAGTCGTAGCTGGTGATGTAGGTGCGGGCTGGGTGAAGCTCCTTTGTGAGGTTCATCATGGTGCGCAATGGTTGAAACTTGGAAAGTGCAAACAGCGTACCCGACCGTGCTTTAACGTTTTGAACCGCGTTACACGCACTAGGACGACACTTGTTTCTGTTCTGCTACAAAGTCACCCACTATTGAGTGATGTTGGCTGTGTGGGGGGGTAGGGTGGGGGGGGGGGGGCGTGTGGTGTGGGTGTAGTGTGCAACGCTCTACAGTACGGCTGTGAAAGCCCTCGCTAGTTTTGGCGCGTTCTCCGTGACTCGATAAGGACGCGGTAAAAGTAGACGATCGATCGTCTATGTGCGGATTAGTTACCAGGTTTACTAGCGTGTAACCGTGCTACAGTAAGGTTTTTGTCAATAAATAGTGCACAGTAAGGGAATGTGACTGATCATTGATTGCTGGAGATCAACCCAAAACTTAGGGGCGATCGTTACAACGACGTTTGCGCATCGTTTCGTCAATCGACCCGCTAAATCGATCGTGCGACTCGATATACGGGCACGATCATGCGATATTCGGACTTTTACTGTGTCCTAAGCCCCCGACGAGCTACGTGTGCAAGCGTTTTTTTGGAAAGGTAGTGCGGGTCCTGACGAGGCCTGTGTTACGAGTGCATTTGAGCGAGCGAGCGAGAATTGCACTATCGAAGCAAAATTACAATGAGCGAATGAATGAATGAACAATATATAGCGAAAGCCTAGCGTTGTGTAAGGAAAAACCTTTTCCTTACTTCGCGCCCCTGCTTACCGCGTACATGACTGTTCCCACCAACAGCACCCAACAATGGAACGTTACCTGTTCGCGACACTCGCCTGTTCCCGCCACTGTACACCTTGCGACCCAACCTCACGGTTCGGTTGGTAACCCGCGCTCCGGTCCTCCGCCCGCCTCGACATTTCCCAACCTCGGCGCTAGGCCTGTCGCGCACCATATTCTCGCGCATGACCGTTACCACGCTAGGCTTTCGCTATATATTGTTCGCTCATTCCTTCGCTCATTGTACTCTCGCTCGCTCACTCAATTGCACTCGTAACACTTGGTATTCAGAGCCTACGATCTCTTCTCGGACCGCGCCCACACCTTCGCTTCCACATTATCTCAAAATTTCGGGGGGGGTAGACGTCTCTCAGCGACCAAGCACCGCTGCCCGTGTGCTCTCTCATAATCACACTCAGCCATGACTGAGGCTCTCGCTGAAGCTAGCCCGACACCCCCACCATGGACGAATCTCGCCGCATTCAACTCGCGACGTTGACGCAAGACCGCCTCGACGAATTAATGCGCCAGCTCGAGGAGTCATCGCTCGAAATCGCGACACTCACGGCGGAACGTGATTCCGCACGCCAGTAATCAGCATCAAATGCACCAGCGCCAGCACCCGCAAATGCACCCGCACAATCGGATGAGCCGATTGTCATCTCATCTGGCACACCGTCGCAGCACGACAGCGTGGGACAAAGCTCAGACGCAACCAGCGACGGCGCCGCCAAATCTATTCCGAGCATGGAGAGAGCTAGGACCGCACCGGGCGTAAATGCACCTCGCGAGGCTCGTTGTCACGTCGGATTTGCAGCATCAGCCGGCAACGACGACATTGGTGAGCCGATGCCACTCAAGCCGCAGCGCCCTGCTTCGATCCTAGCCAGCGTGGAGGTCCGACGGTTCAATCGTGGGTGTTCACGATGAACGTGTTTTTTTTAAGCGAACTACGTCACGTCGGATGCAGCGAAGATACGGTACGCCGTATCATTGCTGCGGGGCCCCGCCATGGACTGGTGGCGAGTCATCGTGACGTCGCCGCGCGCCTACGAGCCACTGTTGCAAGAGGAAGGGCCCGCGGGCCCAGCCGTCATCTGAAGTTCATTCTGCGAGACAGCCCAATACAGCACGTGGGACGCGTGGGGCGCAGGGCTTGGGACGCGCTTCGAGCCAATCGCGGCCTCGATTTCAGCACGTCAGAAGCTGCGCACTTGGCGACAGCTTGGGTCGGTTCAAGACTACACCAGCAGTTTTCTCGCGCTGTACGAGCAAGTCGGCTACATGCACGAAGCGGAGCGAGTGGATCGCTACGTCGGCTGCCTAAAGCCGAAAATCTCGCAAGAAATTCTTCTTCGCGGGATCTCGAACTTCAACAAAATATTGGCGCTAGCGGAGAACATCGACATCCTGCGCCGTCCGAGAACGGGGTCCTACTACGGACATCGCCCTCGGGGGCCGACCGAGCACGCCACTGTACACGCCGTTGCGACGAATGCAGTTGCCGCGCCGTTTAAAGGGCGCTGCTTCGCGTGCAACAGGCCGGGCCATCGCAAGAGCGAATGCCCAGAGGAGCGAAGGCGCCGTAGAGCCGAGCAGGGGAGGGAGTCTGGGAGGCAGGGAAACGCCAACAATCAGTAGAGTACGGGCCCACTACTAACGAGACTCACTGCTCGCCCGACCTCACTGACCCTCACCGAGTCACAATACCGATTCACGCAATCTATCAGGCTCGGTTGAATAAGGAGGGTACAGCGACAGATTGCCCAATACTGATTCACGGAAAAACACAGGGGGTAGCAGTGAAGATTTTTATAGACGGAGGAGCAAGTCACAGCTTAGTTAATACCTCAACGGCCCAGAAACTACATCTGACACTTAGCCGTTGTTTACCGGAGATCGACGCACGCTTAGTTGACGACACGCCACTGGCTATACGGGAGAAAGTGGAGAGAGTGAAGGTTCGCTGCGGGGGGGAATTTCGGGTTTACATAGGAAATGCTCGCGACGACGCTAGATGGGCACGGCATTTTACTGGGACGTGATTGGCTGCGACGCTACAACCCGCGAATTGACTGGACGACAGGTAGCTGCACTATGCGAAGCGGCGGTAACTGTCAGAACTATGCATTTATATTATCTAGGCTGTAGTGGGGCACTCCTTATGGGGTACAACCCAATTAGGTTTTGCTATACAAACCCTGTACTGCTGTCATTCTAGTCATTCTTCTTTCCTGATTCTGACATGGTTTCAGAGCAGGTTCCCTAGTGGGAACGATTTTTTTCGAAAGGGCCCACCATCGATTTTTCTCCTACGCTGCCCGAAGCGCGCTGCAGCGCCTGCCTGCCCTATCGAGCGCCTAGTGCCTGTCTCACCCGCGCCCTAGCGCGCTCTGCCTTACGCGCGCCTGCCCTAAGCGCGCGTTCGTGCGCCTGCCCTAAGCGCGCCGTCGCGCGCCCGCCCTACCTGCAGCCGTCGTCGTGCGCCTGCCCTGACCTGCCGCCCGTCGCGGCCCTGC